AATGAACCAATGTGGAATACTAAACCACAGGGATAACTCACATGTTAAAGGGCCAATACCATCAGGGCAGGGGTGCATCAGCTAAACCATTAAAATTACTAAAACATACATATATTGTACAGCGCTACGGAATCTGATGGCGCTATATAAATAATAAAATAATAGAAGTAATAATAATAATAAACAACATCAAAAACTAAAATCCAACCCCAAAATCCCTTATTTACCCTTTCAAAGCAGATTAATTACGTGTACATATAGGTAGATCTATAGGTAGACGTATAATTACATATAGGTAGATCTTATAACACAATACTATACTATCTAAGTATAGTTTGTATCTTAAACACCTTAATCACACTTTAGGAAAGAATAATAATAAATAATATATTTTACTCTATTAATATAGCCTCACAACGAGCTATTCAGTGGAGATTTTATTAATCCTCTTTCTATCGGGCATAGGCAACCTTCGGCACTGCAGGTGTTTTGGACTACACCTCCCATGATGCTTTGCCAGCATTATGGGTGTAAGAGCATTATGGGGGATGTAGTCCACACCATCTGGAGTGCCGAAGTGCTACTTAGTCAAACGGCTCCTTTACAATTAAACTCATAAGCCAATGCAATAATATCTCAAGTGACTAATTGGAAAAGGCCAAAAACAACTTTCTACATAATCTACATGTTAAACAAATGCATCGTTACTGAAAGTTAGCAATGCAAAACTACTAAACTGCACTGTAACATTCTCAACTTTAGAAACAGTAACAAAAAACAAGGCAAGCCAAATAAATACATTTAAATAAATAAATAAATAAAATCTCTCTCTCTCCATATAAATACACATACAGGTAATACTCGAAAAATTAGAATATCGCGCAAAAGTTAATTTATTTCTGTAATGCAACGTAAAAGGGGAAACTAATATCTGAGATAGACGCATTACATGCAAAGCAAGATAGTTCAAGCTGTGATTTGTCGTATGTGCGATGATTGTGGCTTACAGCTCATGAAAACCCCAAATCCACAATCTCAGTAAATCAGAATATTACATGCAATCAATAAAACAAGGAGTATACATAGAACAATATCGGACCTCTGAAAAGTACAAGCATCCATATGGACTCAGTACTTGGTTTGGGCCACTTTTGCAGCAATTACTGCCTCAATGCAGCGTGGCATGGAAGCTATCAGCCTGTGGCACTGCTGAGGTGTTATGGTAGACCAGGATGCTTCAATAGCGGCCTTCAGCTCTTCTGCATTGTTTGGTCTCATGTCTCTCATCTTTCTCTTGGCAATGCCCCATAGATTCTCTATGGGGTTCAGGTCAGGCGAGTTTGCTGGCCAATCAAGCACAGTAATCCCACGTCATTGAACCAGGCTTTGGTGCTTTTGGCAGTGTGGGCAGGTGCCAAGTCCTGCTGGAAAATGAAGTCGTCATCATCCCCATAAAGTTAATCTGCGGAAGGAAGCATGAAGTTCTTCAAAATCTCCTGGTAGGCGGCTGCGTTGACCCAGGACTTAATGAAACACAGTGGACCAACACCAGCAGATGACATGGTTCCCCAATTCAACACTGACTGTGGAAACTTCACACTGGACCTTAAGCATCTTGCAGTGTGTGCCTCTCCATTCTTCCTCCAGACTCTGGGTCCTTGGTTTCCAAATGAGATGCAAAAGTTGCTCTCATCAGAAAAGAGGACTTTGGACCACTGAACAACAGACCAGGTTTGTTTTTCTTTAGCCCAGGTAAGACGCTTCTGACGTTATTTGTTGTTCAGGAGCGGCTTGACAAGAGGAATATGACATCTGAAGCCCATGTCCAGAATCCGTCTGTGTGTGGTGGCTCTTGATGCACTGACTCCAGCCTCAGTCCACTCCTTTTGAAAGTCCCCAACACTTTTGAATGGCCTTTCTCTGACAATCCTCTCCAGGCTGCGGTCATCCCTGCTGCTTGTGCTCCTTTTTCTTCCACACTTTTCCCTTCCACATAACTTTCTATTAATGTGCTTTGATACAGCACTTTGGGAAAATCCAACTTCCTTCGCAATTACCTTTTGAGGCTTTCCCTTATGGATGGTGTCAATTATGGTTTTCTGCACAACTCACAGGTCAGCAGTCTTCCCCATAATTGTAATTCCTACTGAACCAGACTGAGAGACCATTTAAAGGCTCAGAAACCCCTTTGCAGGTGTTATGGCTTACTTAGTCGATTAGAGTGGGACACTGTGAGCCTAGAATATTGCACCTTTTCACAATATTCTAATTTACTGAGATTGTGGATTTGGAGTTTTCATGAGCTGTAAGCCATAATCATTGCACTTATGACAAATCACGGCTTGAACTATCTTGCTTTGCATGTAATGCGTCTATCTCATATATTCGTTTCCCCTTTAACGTTGCATTACTGAAACAAATGAACTTTTGCACGATATTCAACGTTTTCGAGTATCACCTGTATACAGAGCAAATATTACAGACTGCAAAGCACACAACCTATGTCATAAGTTTTCACATTGCAATGCTCCATTTCAAGCATAATATAATTTTAATCACAATAGTATTTTGGACATAATTAAGTAAAAGTTGAGTACACCCAATTATTAACTATAAGATGCTCTCATACGTTCCACAAAACTAATATAAGAAGGATATGTCCCACTCAATCCAAGAGGAGCACTTAACTCCATCTCCCTCCTGGAAAGAAAAGGGGCCAGGTAATCCCCTTCCAAGGACCTATCACTCTCTCATTACCTTGAAAAGAGAATCTATGTGTTTCTCTATTGTCCTACCTGTAAGAATGTCTACTAGTGGTTAATTGATTTCCCGTCTTTAGATTGTTTAAACACTCCTTAATGTGATCCTTTAGTTTGTACTCCATCTTACCAACATACTGAATCTCCCACACTGTCCAAGTAATTAAATAAACCACATATCTTGAATCACAGTTCATGTGTGCACAAATTTGGAAGCTCTTGCTTCAGAAATAAAAGGTTGGCGTACAGCAGATTTGCATGACTTACAATGATGATGCCCACGTTTAAAGAAACCTTTACACATAAGCCAGGTACAGTTATCTAACCTTACTTTAATTTCTTTACTTAAATGGAGACTAGAGGACAGTCTGCTAAATAGAATGAGGGTTTTCTTGATACATATTTCATTTTCCCCTATACTATTATGGCCAATATTTCAGCTCCAAATATCACCTCAAACATACCTTTCTCCTACTGTTTTGCACGATATTCAACGTTTTCGAGTATCACCTGTATACAGAGCAAATATTACAGACTGCAAAGCACACAACCTATGTCATAAGTTTTCACATTGCAATGCTCCATTTCAAGCATAATATAATTTTAATCACAATAGTATTTTGGACATAATTAAGTAAAAGTTGAGTACACCCAATTATTAACTATAAGATGCTCTCATACGTTCCACAAAACTAATATAAGAAGGATATGTCCCACTCAATCCAAGAGGAGCACTTAACTCCATCTCCCTCCTGGAAAGAAAAGGGGCCAGGTAATCCCCTTCCAAGGACCTATCACTCTCTCATTACCTTGAAAAGAGAATCTATGTGTTTCTCTATTGTCCTACCTGTAAGAATGTCTACTAGTGGTTAATTGATTTCCCGTCTTTAGATTGTTTAAACACTCCTTAATGTGATCCTTTAGTTTGTACTCCATCTTACCAACATACTGAATCTCCCACACTGTCCAAGTAATTAAATAAACCACATATCTTGAATCACAGTTCATGTGTGCACAAATTTGGAAGCTCTTGCTTCAGAAATAAAAGGTTGGCGTACAGCAGATTTGCATGACTTACAATGATGATGCCCACGTTTAAAGAAACCTTTACACATAAGCCAGGTACAGTTATCTAACCTTACTTTAATTTCTTTACTTAAATGGAGACTAGAGGACAGTCTGCTAAATAGAATGAGGGTTTTCTTGATACATATTTCATTTTCCCTTATACTATTATGGCCAATATTTCAGCTCCAAATATCACCTCAAACATACCTTTCTCCTACTGTTTTCTCTTCTCTTCCTCTTGCAGGATCTGTTCTTCTTTTCTTTACGTCTGATCTTTAAAACAGGACAACTTTGTCATGTGTATTTTTCCCTTCTCATGACAATCTTAACAAAGGATTGAGCTAAAGGTAACCTTCACTGTTTGTTAGCTTGACAGAGGAAGTGGAGCTTGCCTTAAAGGCACACTATAATCTCCAAAGCAACTTTATCTTAACAAAGTAGTTTGTGTGTATAGATCATGCTTCTGAAGTTTTACTGCTCAATTCTCTGCCATTTAAGAGTTAGATCATTTTTGTTTGTCATGCAGAACTAGCCACGCCTCCCCTGGCTCTGACTGACACAGCCTGCATCAGATGCTAACTTACTTTAAAAGTTTTTATCTCCTGCTCTGTAAATTGAAATTTAATTATATACAGGAGGCTCATGCAGGGTCTAGGAAGCTATTAATGGAGAAGGACATATGAAATTCTAAATTAAACATAATTTGCAATAAAGGAAATTTAAACACTAGATCTGTCTTTACAGGAAGTGTTTAGGAAGGCAGGACAAGTCACATGCAGGGAGGTGTGACTAGGGCTGTATAAACAAAGTGATTTAACACCTAGATGGCAGAGAACTGAGCAGTGAGCCTGCAGGGACATGATCTATACACCAAAACAGCTTCACCTGCTTTTACCTCACTGTCAGTAAAGACCTTTTTTGGAAATGTTCTCTACAGGAACAAAATCCACATTGCTTGGTGGCTGCAAGTGACAGTTTCTGAGTCTCGTTCATGGATACTCATATTCTTTTCAGTCTTTTGATTTTGTATGTTTTCTTAATATTTATTCCTCTTTCAAATTGATGTTACTAGCATTAGTAGTTGATGGAGAACCAAATGTGTGACGTCCCCCAATACACCTGATAATCTGTGACATCAACATTTTGTTTCTTATTTTTTTATTCTTTATTTTTGATGTGCTTGTCAATGACAAAAATAGGATAGTATACACTGACAATTATAGTGTATAGAAGAAGCAGCACATTTTTAAAATTAACTAAAGGAAAAAATAAAAACGTCAAGAAAGACGTGCAGTTTGAGTGAAACATTGTGATAATAGGCAAGCAGGTTCTTTACAGCTGTAGAAGCTGTAGAGTTAATAGTAGTTAATGTAAGAATGTCACAGTTTAGCAACGAGTAAGAACCCTCAGGAGGCCCCCCAGACAGACTATATGTAAAAGCATTACGAAGTACATGAAAGGAAACGAGGCAACCGTTTAAATCGCGAATTCAGCAGCATCACGGTTGGGATGTGATGTTAAAGGTAGGTAGACCCTGGTTTGGGTATGAGATGAGCCTATGCCTTGTGGTTGCCAAATGTAGACCTCGTACAGGAGTCCCAGATGGAAGTCTGATAACTCCCTTAAGTGGTGGTTTGTGGCAGTCAGGTAAATCCTGTGAGATCAGCAGGCGGTCCCAAGTTCCAGTTTCTGCTGCCGGCTTCACCGTGGGTCTTGCTCTCCTTCTACACACCATCCGTCCTCGGTGTGACACTGACTGCTCTCTTTTCGCCCAGTGGCTGTACGTGGACTTGTAGCAGTTGTCAGGTCCTTTGGTATAGTGGGTCGCAAGTGTGCCTTCAGCCTTGCCTGAAAGGACTCAAATAGCCCATCCAGATGGTGCAGGACATCTGAGAAGCCTCTGTATTGGCCGGGGGCGCACATGGAACCCGCCATATTGAGTATGTTTGAGGGCCTGTTGCTTGTATCGCGGGTGTGCCGTGCGCCCTCAGAGTAACTAGGAAGCCTAGACCGGGATCACCCCCACCGGTCCAAGGGGGGGGTACAGGGCATTAATCGGCCACACGGGTCCAGGGTGGAGATCGGCCGCTTCTCCACTCTCCTAGGTCCACTAAGCCGCCAAAACTGCTCACGGGTCTCCGGTAGCGTGGACACCCAAAAACATCAGAACACGCTTCGGAATCTGTTTAGGGTCACCAGCAGGGCAGCTGGAGTCAATGATGGGGGAGTAATCTGCCAATATAGCTATAAACTTGAGATTGTGTGCTGGAGCTCAGACAAAGTGTGTCTGTCCGCCATGACAGACAAGCCCCACCCCAAAATTTTTTTTCTTAAAGGACAACTTCTTGCCTCTTTTAAAATTGATCACAGTGGCCTGTCATCATTTGTTTGTTTTCTGAATTGTCTAAAGCTTCTCTTTCTCACATAGATATTGTGATCTTCATAGTCTTCATTGTCTCGTATAAATGTCTTTTTTTCCACTCAACAATTTCGGTTTGTAGCTTGTCAATCTTATCATTAAACTTAACATAGGAAGACTTAAATACTTCTGTGTTTGTGGCACTAATTGTTTCTGCAAACTTTCAATGCCCCTCTGTATTTTGTCATCTCCTCTTCACGGTATTGAGCAACAATATGCATCAATAAACATGATTCTATTGCATCCAACCATTCCAACAGCAGTGCATCCAACCATTCCAACAACAATCCTTCACAAACAATTACAAACAAAGTCAGTTACGTGAGTATGGTACCCCTGTGAATTTGGAGTGTGTCTCCGGTTTTCTAGGTTAGAGGGTCCCCCATGTTACATCTTCGCAATTCAAGCTAGTCGCCTTTGGTAAAACTTAACTTTTAACTCACTTACCTAAAAACTTACTATCCATCAATATCTATACAATAAAAAGGTGTGTGTTCACTACAATCAGTCACTGGTGCAAATGTGTCAGAGACTATGCCAAATCTATCAGTCTTATGCAGCTAATTAGAACCAAAATCTAACCCACTTAATGTACATAGTATCATAATTACATGTGCATTCTGCACAAGACATCAAAAAAAAAAAGATGATTTTTTAAAAAAAAGATGATTTTTTTTTTAAAAAAAGATGATTTTTTTTAAAAAAAAGATGATTTTTTTTACAAAAAAAGATGATTTTTTTTACAAAAAAAAGATAATTTAAAAAAAAAAAGATTAATTGCTTTGGTCAGTGACTAAATATTGATTTTATTCACAAATCAAGTTGTAACAAATTCCTGTACTCGGACTGTGTAGCTCCATCACGTCAGCTTCCTCGTTGCTTTCAGGGGACTCTGGAGCACTACAGACCCAGTTTCTAAAGCTGAACTTTATCCACTGGCATCAGAGTTTACCACCACGATTAGTCAGGGTAAGGTAGTTCCTCTACCCACAGGCAGATATCCCTTCTTCTGAAAATATCAATTCGTCTACCTGACACTGTCTTTAAAAATACAGTTTTGGCTCACAGTACCAAGTGATTAAGCTTTTGGCTCAGAGGTCCATTACTCTGTCACCATGCTCCCCCAAATAAAACACAACACTTCAGTTCAGGAGTGCAAGAATAACTAAAAGACTTTATTCACAACAATGACTAGCCTCCAGCTACACATGATTCAGGATATGGTGAGCCATACAAACACAGATGAAGTTCTATGCAAATGACCCCGTTAAAATTCTCACAACAATAGTAATGACACTGACATTCTCAGTACACCTTCCTGTTACAATAGCAATAAGTGACAGAAATATCGTAGCCATGTCACAGAGTTAGAAAGTGACAATTGTTAGGAATGTTGCTAAGAAAATAACAGAGAAAGAGAAAAATCCTTCCCAAGTGTACTTCAATTATTATTATTATTATTTATCAATTCTAACGTTAGTTACTAATCCCTGAAAAGTCATAATGCACAGTACAAAGTACGATGGAGTTTGGCAAAAAGTCCCAGTTTAAAGGAACTCCATAGCATTAGGAATGCAAACATGTATTCCTAAAGCTATAACGTTCTATTTGCTATTTAGATTCTGCAGTCCCACCCCCCACCCCCAAATTAAAAAAAAACAACATATATTACTTGCCTTTTTCAAGTACCACAAATCACTCCTTGCAGTTGCTTGCTCTGCCTCCCCATCTTCCTGCAGACGTCTCCTCTTTGTCTTCTCATCTAATCCAATGCTTCTCATACGAAAGCTTTGGGGCCGCAAGAAGTGCCTCTCTCATCCAATCAAATGTTTTTCATAGAGAAGCAATGAATCCAAGTGTCTCGTATTTGGAGTGTCCTGGAGGGACACTTGCAGTATGCACATACCATAAAACGTTACTTTGCATGCATTAATACAGTAACTTCTTTATTGTCGCAGAAAATAGGACAAATAACTGCTCATTGCTGTGATGGACATATATAAATGCCAGAATAATGATAAAATGGTGTTTTGGATCCTCAGACACTCTCCGTATCACCATAATGTATATGTCAGTAAGTAGGGCATGACAGAATTGGCAACCCTGAAAAAACCAATGTTCCTTTGATCCTCCAGTAACCGACAATGTTCTGACAGTTTCCTTTTCTTCTTCTCTTTTGCTGCGTGTGGTGGGCTGAGAGGTCGGTTATTCATTAGCAGGGTTATTCAATAAAGTGAATTTCAAATTATGGCCAGACTAGCCAAACTGAACGCATAGCGGACTAAGAGAATTTTTCAAGCTTGGCTATTTTAACCTTAAATGTAAAATTTAGTTTAAATTCACTTAGAATTCTTACTTTAGTAAATAACTAGGTTACAATCAGGTAATGCACCAGCGTCATATTTCTGTGTTATAGAATGAGATGGAGGATTTATAATGCAATCCAGGAAGGGGATCATGAAGACATCTTCCCTAGCTGAAGTGGAATGAGGGTACTTGGCAATTACGGAAGCCACATACAAATCAATATAGGAAGGAGTGAATGGAGGGATGGCATGGGTCCTGTTACTAACTACTCACCTCACGTAGAGAAATAGACAAGGAATATATGCTTGGACTTCCTTATTAATAGGGAATCCTGATGACTCCCTTCTCTTAATTTTTCTCGTGTTCTGTTTTCTACCATGGTTTTTCAAATCAGGGTTTGAAATTAATTTAAAATTTAAGGCTAATTCGACCTTAAATTTGAAATTCACGTTGAATTCACCACCTTGTTTTCTTACTTTGTTAAATAACCCCGTAAGAATGCGATGCTTAAACTTTCTTTTGTTTTGCCACGGAAAAATCACTCTTCTTTCTTCAGTAGAGTGCTAGACTGCAATTCAGCCAAATTTGGGGTAAATCGCTTGTATATCTGCATGATATATCCATAATATTATATTATGTATATTTTGTGCCGTAAACTGATTGGTCCATTTTCATGACTTTTTGGTTGCTCTCCTGATTCGCTTCCAAATTGACATTTGGCTGAGCCAAACTGACATTCGACCGAAATTTGGTTGTGCTGAAAAATGTTCTATCTTCGAAAAAAAATGATTCAGCAGAACCTTAATTACCGCATAACACTATTTAGAATATTGCATGGTATTAATCACTTACTAGGGGACAAATTGTATGTAATGATTTCACTGTGACAGATGTTCCACATGTATAATTCTAATATATAATTTCACTTCCAAGAATATTAACCCTAAGTATTCTCAAAACCTCTACCACGGTTACTAAGGAGTCTGCATACCTCGTTCTATATGGCACTTTCTCCTTCAAATATCTATTTGTTTTGGTAAATGTAATTGTTATGCTCCATAGCAAATCATCCCCAGTCATATTTGTCTTTCTATCTTTATACTGTGCTTTGATCTTCTGAAAATTATAAATATTCTAACGCCAATCACCCTCTGGTCTCAGCCACTCTACTAAAGTGACATTTAATCAACACTCTTTTCTTTTTACACACAATCGCAACGGGGTGTAGCTTTTGCCTTTCTATATATATATGGGAAGGCGGAGCCTGGAGTTGTGGGAGGGGTTGCTACCGGCCTATATAAACCCACTACTTACCTCCATACCTTGCTGACAGTGCTTGGTCACTTCCTGTTGCTTGAGGTCAGCATCAGAATGATTTCCACTTCCGGGTCATCCAGACGCCATTTTACCTGCTTACTCCATGAGGTTTTCTAAGCTGAGCTGTGTCAGAAATCCAGCCACAGGCTTTTCCGGCCTACCAGCTTTTTCTTCAATCTATTGCTGTGGATGGTGTCCAAGTGGCTCACAAACCGTAAGTCGACCTACCCGTTACGCCAGGCATCAGTTGCACGGGTCAGGTCCTCACTTTACGGCTGCATTTTGTCTAAATCTGTCCTAAAACCATTGCATGTTCATGCATATCATTCGTTTAAATTCACCTTTTTATATCTGTCACTGGCTCATTTTGAGCTTTAGCATACTCCCAAACGGGAACACATTCTGTTTCAATTGCCTAAACATACTAGGCAATTCTGTGCGTGCATTTCAAATCTCACTGCTCGTTTCGTTTGGTTTCCCTGACATGCCAAGCTCACGGTTCGTGCAATTTACTACCAAACGGGAACTAGTTCATGCATTTACTACTGTACTACACACACGTTTTGTGCGTTTACAACCCACTAACGGAACTTTGGTTTGTTACAATGACTGTTATTAAGCTATTATGTTCACATAATGTATATTGTCAAACGGGCACTGTTTGTTTCCCTGTCATACAACTATAATGCTGGGGCATAGCTCACAAACAATGTTTCATATAAACCACACTGACCCCTACAGGTCACTCTCAAAATCTCACGTTAACCTTGCATTTGGATTAACCCCTTAAGGACCAAACTCTGGAATAAAAGGGATTCATGTATCCTGAAGGGGGTTAAAGGGTATTTTACCATACAATCAGCATTTCTGACCCCTACTGGTCAACATCAAAACTGTCTTCACATGTCATATACAATTACTAGCCAATATAAATTACACATAAGATTGTTTTAAACCTAACCATAAATTAAACTCCAGCACTGGCTCAACAATTTGTCTTTCACATCAAGACTAACAGTGGTTCTATCAACACTGCCACCTACAGGTCTGTCAAGTACATTGACAATTTTCATGGGGTTTTACAGACACCAAAAACACTGACCCATATAGGTCAACAGATAAACAACATTTCACATACCAATCAGCATCAACTACACTACCACCTATAGGGCACTCGGCAGTTCTCCAGTACACTTGCATTTTGCAACACCATGTTCACTGACCCCTACCATTCAATAAGGCATACAACAATTCACAGAGCAAGTAG